TATATACTGCATCCCCAATACCTCAGTTTGGTTCTATTACATGCTATAGAAATGACAATATAAAAATGGTAGACATGAAATTGAAAAGATACCATGTGAAGCAGATTGATCATAAATCTTTAGAAAAGCATTTTGGCATTTTCAAGGTTATTCATGAGAAAAACCAAAGTTTTAAATAAATAAACAGCAAAGCAAATTCTCTATGGTAAAAATTATGCAAAACAAAACTAGTCCACAGACTGTTCAACCTCCAAAGTACACTACCTAGTTTAAGTTCCATATAATCACTCTTCAGATCATATTTTTTTTAAGATTCTAAAGACAAAGTCTACATAATACTGGAGTTTCCAATGCTGTTATTCTCTTCTCCTGACAATGCTGGTACAGAATGGGGGCAGCACCAGAAAGCACAATCTTGAACCACACTCAATCTGAATACGTAAAACATTCTATTTTATGAATTCTGGGGCAACAAAAATATAAGTTCTTTTATGGCAAATCTTGGAATATAAATGTAATAAACCAATGAAGCATTTCCATAGATATAATCTAAGGAAAGCACTAGGAGTCAAGTTGAGAATGTGAAGATGCAGATGTTTACATACATAAGGACATGGACAACACATACTCATTGTACACATGATCAGGATACAGACCGACATATCCATGTATGGCCTTCCACACTCACATGTCATGAAAGGCTACACTAGCAAATCGCCACCAACAAACATTTTTCTTCATGTGTATTAGGAAAAAAAATCCCAAATTAATAATATCAATTTATGTGAATAAACGTATGTCTCTTTTTTCAAATAGTCTTTAAACTTGTACAGTGCATTTTAGAAGCCTTCTTTGGTATTCATGAATGGCAGTTTTAATTGAGAAACATAAATTAATGTATTTGGTCTAAAATGCATGAAGTCTCTGTAATTTGGACTATGCTCTGGAAATACACAGGATTTCCTTCTGAAAATTAACTCCCTTAAGAAAAGAGCTGGCGTGAATTTCTGTATAATGCCATTCTACTCTACATTCTATTGGTATTAACAGATTTACAAGGGTGGGAAAATTTCCACCAAGGGCCATTTGGATATTTGTAACATCACTTGTGAGCGATACAAAATCATCACCTGAAAAATTAGGCGGCTTACTGCCTATTAGGTGGCCCATGTATGGCTGGCAGATCTGACATTCCCCACCCAACACACACTTCAACTGAGCTAGCAATGTTCTTCCTATTCTTTCAGCAACAGACAAGATGAGAATTACATATAAATAACATCAATCATATTCTTCCTCAGAAAGCAGGAAAAAGATCTACAAATTGGGTTGTGTGTTTTTTTCAGTTGTAAAATGAAAAAAACAAACAAAAAATTTGGCAGAAAAGTCTTTATTCAAATTCTTCTAATACAACCAATAGGAAACATCATTTGCCCCCAAATCCCACAATACTATACTACATTTTTAAAAAAATCAAAGGTAACCCTTTTGGATATATGCCATCCCAGTATGGTGCAACCACCAAATAACACTGTAATAGTATCTTGATAAAAGATTTTTTTTTCTAAGAATCCCAACTGTGTTGTACTAAAAATGTTGGAGTTGCTTTTAGAAAAAGAAACAATAAAATCAGCTTAAAATAAATTTATTATACAATACAAAAAGTAGGCATACTGAAAAATAAAGGTACATTATTAAATATACAAAGCAAACAAAAGAAAGCCGAACAACACAAATGTTTTAATCCAGCCACTAAGATAAAATGTACAACATTTATGCCAAACACAATGTATTTCAGGAAGAATATGCATTTCAAATGAAATGTTAACGATGCCAAAAAAGAGAAAACAAGAACTAAAATGCTATCTTGTAAAATACTTGAATATCAAGAATCAGTAATGACATGAAAGATTAAACCCAACAATACTGGGTACTTTCCAAGAACTTTATTTGAAAAGGCATTAAGAATACTGAAGGAATCAAAATATGCTGTTAAAACAGACAAAGCTTTCGTTTTTAAGCTTGAGGACCTATTCACAATATCTTACCTCTTCTTCCATTTATACCATGCTATAAACATCGACATTCATTCTAAACAGCAGTCTGCAAAAAGAGTAGCTTAGATAGCCCTGCTTCAACTTAAGTATATATTAAGCCCTATCAACACTATGTCAAATGGCAAATTAGAACCTAACTTTGATGTCTACACACAAATATACATAGAAAACTAAATCTTCATTTTATAAAGTAAAATGTCCACAATTAGGGGAAAAAATAAAGCCTTTTTAAACCTTAATTAAGGCATTCAGTCACCCCAATTACAACTGGCCCTCACAGAACTAACTCGGATGCCCTGCAGCAGGTGCAGGGCATAAGCATCTTCTGAGGATTTGAACAATGGAGGGCTACTTAAGAAAGCACAAAATCCTCTTCAAACTCCTATGTGATTCTGAGATTTAAAATTTAGGTTACCCCAAAAGGGATTCTCCTCTCCTAATATCAAAACATTTGATCAAGAATTTCTATGTTTACACTAGTATTTCAATTACTCAATGAAATCCGTTTTGCTAACATGTTTTCTTTTACAGACTTTGTGCATTCACATACATTGCTATCATGCTAAAAAGCCATAACTTTCCTTCTAAACCCTACCTACCACTAATTTTACAAATTTATAAATAAATTTAAAAAAAATACTTGAGCTTATGGGGAGAACCAGAGAGGTATATGGAAGAAGAAAGAAATGTGAATAGGTCCTGCAGATTTTCACAATCACTTTTGCCCAGACTTTGCAATACTTTGAACAATTACTTGAATTCAGCTTGTGTAGAACCTAGAGTTCCCTTCACAAACAAGTTTTGATTCTCAATATTGCATTTTTGTAACCAAACAAAATGATTCAAATCTAACAAGATATTTTAGTAGCATTCTTAATACCTTCAGATTAAATTTATTTCCCAAGTACTGTGGAAGAGCTTCAACAGAATTTTATGTAATAATTTATCACAAAAGCATTTATGAAATTGCTAAGATAAAACTGAAAGCTAACAAACCAAGATTTGCCATTTATACTTAAATATAACAGAAAAAAATTATATGCACAGTATGAAAATAAGACTGTTCAGGGCAAACATTCCATGTGGAGACATTCACTGTCTCTCCTTCTGAGTAACTAACCATTATAGCTTTATAACCATGAAACATGCCATTAGCTCCCAGCTAAAATTCTTTGGCTGAAATGTTTCAGTAATCTAAGACACTCTCACAGACAATATTGACAGAACACAGGAGTTGCAAAGTAAAAAAACACATCTGACAGTGTTGGATTGAACTTTAAATTTTTAAAAATTAAAACCATTCTCACACTAAAAATGGCATCCATATAAATTTAAGCTAAGCTTATAATCTTACTTCTATTTTAAATAAAGCAATTTGGGTTAATTATTTTGCCTTTTAATTTTGTATTTAGCATAAAAGTTATTTTCGGTTGCCACTATAAGCATACCAGTTTTAAACTAGAAAAAACAAAATGCAACAAAATTAACTCAATTTGTGGGTCTTAGAACTGAGAAATTAAATTTTCTGCCACTGTTTTAAAATGGAATTATATGACCGCATAGTTAAAATTTTTATTACATCAAGAAATTTAAAAAAATTTTCCTTTTTGAATTATTTCAAAAAAAAAGGAAATTTGCTTCATTTACTTGTAAAACTTTCAAAAATTAACAGTCACTTTTAACCTAATGTCCTTCACAAAGATTATAAAGGGAAAAAAATTTATGGCTCCAGCATTCAAAATTGAGAACACAAAAAACTCAAATAAATACTTGCAGCTTGCAAAATATATTTGAAAGGTTAGACGGAGAACCATTCTGAAACTAGGACCCGTTTCTTTAGCTTTTCTCTCCCAGACTTTCCATTCTATACACTACAGTTGTGGAGATGTCCTCATTTGACTCAGGTGACACTTTTTTCCATACTGTCTCTTTTAAAGCAAGTTCTTGTTGGAGACTTTCATAGTCCAATGGTCCAAAGGAATGCTAGTTGTTCAAGCAACATACATAATTTATTAGTGCACTTGAGTGAAGAAAGGTCCAAGCTATAAAATGGTATTTTTCAATGAACGTTATTACAATCTGTTAACATGTTCACCCACCATCATGACAGTTTGTTCCATGCCACTCACATTGATTCCCAGATTCCTATTCCATCAGCTTTGAATAGTTCCTACACTATAAGAGGTTATACTTTGATCCAGGTCAGCAACATTTAAACTGGAGATAACTAGGGAAATTTACTTACAAAAGTTTCATAGTAGCTTTAAATCTAAATTATTCTCCTACAAACTTTTTTCATGTAGAATAGAAGGGAGGAATTAAAATCCCTGATACAAGTTCCCTGGTTCAGTGAAAAACAACTTAGACAAAAAACCAAAACAAAACAAAAAGATTCTTAATTCAATACTAGCTCTAAGGAAGTATGTGTGTGTGATAATACAAAGCCAAATGCACTGATAAACAAACAGGACTTTAAGGGTCTGCGGAATGGTATATTAAACACTTCAGGAAAAAATTTCCTTGTTTGCAGCCTATAAAGCATGACAAAGCTTCTTAAAGTCTCTCACTACTAATATAATCCTCCAAACATTCATCTGTACAGCTGGCAGAGTTGAAATAATTCAGGACCATAACTGACAATCTTAGGAGTTATAAGGATGTTTATTTCTGCAGATTAAAAGTATGTGGCACATTTCAATGTCTTCTCTTAGTGTATTGCAGAAAATGGTGGGGTGGCGTGAGGCGCCAGCTAGGGAGCTAACCAGTTCCAATTTCAGTAAGAAAACAATACTATCCGTATACTAGTGACAGTGAACCAGGTTGAAAATAATGTGTTTATACTCATTTGTGATTGGCAAAGACATAAACACACTAAGAAATTTACTTTACTCAAATAAGCAAATCTTATTTTCTCTTAAAAAATTAAGTAACAATTCTGCTTACCCTTTGATCACCACCTTCTCTTCGAGGATCAAGTTTTTTTGCAAAGTGTCTCAAATTATCATAGTTATGGAAATTACACAGGGAGACAAGATCCTGTAAAGTCACAGAATTGGCATAATAAGTCAGCTATTAATCCTATTCATATTTTAACAGATTCAATTTACACTATTCAACCACAACAATTACCATCGCATGGAAACCAACACTGTGTGCTAATAAAGCAACAAAAATCAGTAAGGTGCAGATGCAGGCTTTAGGAACACTGCTTATTAACACAAGCAAAGAAGCCACTCAAACTACCTTTCACCTTCTACAAAAGAGGGTTTTTAATGGCTACTGCTCTGGCATGGTGGGTTAATCTGTGTCCGCAGCACCTGCATCATATGGGTGTTGGTTTGAGTTCTGGCCTCTCCACTTCAGATCCCGCTCCCCAAATTAACGTGCCTGGAAATGCAGCCGAGGACAGCCCAAGTGCTTGGGTCTGCCAATCAGGAAGCATGGAAGCAGCTGCTGTCCACCCTGTATATCCTGCCTTCAGCCTGACGCAGCCCCTCACTGGCACCATCTGGAGAGTGAATCAGCATTCAATCTCTCTCCTCTAACTCTGCCTTTCAAATAAATAATGAAATCTTAAAAAAACAATAGGATTGGGTGCAATGCAATGGCTCAATTGGCTAATCTTCCCCTTCTAAGTGCCAGAATCCTGTAGGAGTGCTGGTTTGTATCCAGGCTGCTCCACTTCCTATCCAGCTTCCTACTTATGGTCTGGGAAAGCAGTGGAGGATGACCCAATGCCTTGGACCCTGCACCTGTGTGCATGATCCAGAAGAAGCTCCTGGCTTCAGATCAGCTCAGCTCCAGCCACTGTGGCCATTTGGGCAGTGAACCAGCAGATGGAAGATCTTTCGCTCTCTATCTTCTTCTCTCTGTAAAGCTGCCTTTCCAATAAAAATAAATGAACTTTAAAAAAAATTAAAGTTTATAATATAAGGCCACAAGAAAAATGCCTCCATTGATTAACTATAAAGTTTCATACATATAAAAATACGTATTTTAGTTATAATTTCCGTTATATGTAGCTAAATATAATCTCTAGTTCTGGAAGACAAAAAAATCAGATTTCTAATTGAGAAACTCTGCAAAAGATCATGGTACTTAAAATGGACTCAAGGACATAAAATCTGCAGTACACTTAAATATTGAACTATTACCAAGAACTGGATGACAACATAATATTGAGCTATGAAGCACAGCAATAACTTTTTTCACTTTTATTATTTACTTTGTTCATAGTCCTTAAAAATATTTTTACTTAAATGTAGCAAGTGAATATATCCAACCACAATAAATCACAATTATTGGAATTTATTGGGTTTGAAATTAATATCCAAGTTTAAGATCTTCTGTTGAGCTTTTGAAAATTAAAAATTATACCCATCAAAAGTAAAACACAAGCAACATTTAACAAATGTGCTTTTTGGTGAGAGGCAACTTCAAGTTCCTCTATAAATACTGCCTTGGCTACCAGGTAACTGGTATATTAGCAAGCTGGGTGTCAAGAGTCAATGAACAACAGAAAAGGAAGCCTTGTGTAGCTCAATTTCTGCACTCATCCTCTCCAGTAAGAAAATATGCTTGGGGCCAGCATGGTGACAAAGCACAGAAAGTCGCTGTCTACAGCGCCTCAACCCATATCATTCAAGCCTGGGCTGCTCAACTTCCAACTTGGCTCTCTCCTCATGGTCTGGGAAAAAAGTGGAAGATGGCCAAGAGCTTGGGCTCTTGTACCCACATGGCAGACACAGAAGATCTTGTTTATGGCCTAGCCCATCCCTGGTCATTGAAGGCATCCGGGAAATGAAGGAGCAAATGAAAGCCACCTCTGTCTTTCTAACTCTCAAACAAATAAAAAAAATCTCTTTTTTGGAAAATAAGAAAATATACTCACATGACAGAAGTGAATTCCTTTAACACTGTTGCCCATCTTGTCCAGGGGAGGAGACCAGCACATCATGCCCATGACATTGGGGACAACTAAAAGAATGCCCCCAGCAACTCCAGACTTTGCAGGAAGACCAACCTAAAAATAATTCAATAAAGAGGGGCATTCATGTGAACATTTAAAAAATAGACATAATGTGCTAGCAACATGTTATACCAAATGAAAAGGATAATTACAAAGCAGTTGGAGATACATGACAATCTAAATTTTTAAATTACATGTTCCAAGGAGATAACAGTGCTTATGTCTGAACTGTGGGACTATTTTCTAATCAATCTAAAGTAAACGTGTGTTACTTATAAATTAAGATATTTTCAAAAACATTTTATACCTAGAGAACAGTGAGAAATTTTACATTCTCAAAGGATGTTCAATGGGGGCCCCTGCTATGGTGTAGTGAATAAAGCTGCTGCCTATAATGCTGACATCCTATGTGGCTTCCAGTTCTAGTCCTGGCCGCTTGCTCCACTTCTGATTCAGCTGCCTGCTAAAGCAGCGGAGAATCACTCAAGCTTTTTGGGGGTGAGGGGGTCCCTTCACCAATATGGAAGACATGGAAGAAGTTTTTGGCCCCCCGGCTTTGGTCTGGCCCAGCCTGGCCACTGCGGCCATTTGGCAAATGAATTATTGAATGGAAAATCTCCCTCCTTCTCGCTCTGTACTGACCCTCAGAAAATAAAAGATGCTCTACATTTGTAACATCAGAGGTATGTTCTATCAGAGAAACTTCTGAGCAAGAGATATATTGTAATACAAATTAACACTTTTAAAAAAACCCTGACAACATTAATGGCTTACTAACATTTAGATTTTAAATACCTCTTGACAGAAATACTTTAGGGTATATTGATAAAGAACACCCAAATTAAAGTTTCCAATTTGTGGGAAATAAAAAGGACAAATGAATTGATATAATCAGCAAAATCCACACTGGAATGTACAGGATAAAATAACCCAAGCTTTTCTATCAAATATAAGAAAAATAGACAGCTGGAGATTAACACATTAATAAACACAATTGCTAACAACTCAACATATTTAAAAACTGAAAGGAGACACATCTAATCACAAAGTATGGTTCTTATTTGCATTCCAAATCAAACTGTGAAATAAAAATTTATAAGATAACTCAAGAAAATGAGTACTCACAAATATCCAGATATTAAATTTTATAGTGATATTAAACCACTGGTAATATTAAAGTTTTTATACATACTATTTCATTTTTAGCTGAAGGAGTGGTAGTGCTATGTTTTGTTAAGGATTCTTACCCTTCAGAATTAACACAGAAATACAAGAATGTATGATAGCTATGCATACAGATAAAACAAAGACAAAATTGGTCATGTGTTTATAATTATTGAAGCTGAGTAATGGTTAAAATTAGCTGTACCTTCCCATTTCTGTATGCTTGAAAGCTACCAAATTAAAAAAACACTATAACATGAGAATTTATCTATATTCTCCAGTGCTAAATGAAAAATTGTTTAAAGAAGCAAATTTTTATTAGTTTTAACAAATATACTTTAAGTCTTTTGAAAAGAAATCTATGACTAATCAAAATTTAATTGTCACATGTGAACTTTAGGATGTGTTCTGAATTTCAGGAATTCTTGAGTTATGTAAGCCCCGGGATACTAAATAGTAACAACTGAAAGTAAAAAGTAAGCCTGTCCCAACCTGGACCACTAAAATGCCTTAAAAGCAAGACTGGTGAGTTCTATAAATTGAATGCTCAAATTCTTAAGAACATCCGGAAGATTGCTTAACCCTTTGCCTTAGCATTTTTGTAACAAATTAACCTTGAAAGTAATTCATTCTATCAAGAACTAATGTACAACTTTAGAAAGTTTAAACTCATATTTAAGAACATCCATCCAGACCAGTTTTTCCAAGAGAGAAGCTTCAAAGGTTACTTACATGGAAGGCAAACTGCCCGGAGAAATCATACATGCCACAGGAATGCATCAAGCTCAGCGTGTTTCGAACTGCCTCGGGGCTTAGTACTCTCTCGCCAGTGATTGGGCAGAAGCCGCCGTTCGCCAGGGTTGCTGCCATCACACTAGCGGATTCACAGGTCACTTCAATGGAACACAGCTACAATGAAAAACAGGTTGATTTCTTAAACGGGTTATCTATCCTTTAGTACTGTAGCTAGCTTCTAAAATAATGTTTTTCAGTTTGGTATTTCATCCTCCAGATCTAAAACATTTCTTTCAAAGGGGTTATCTTAACAAAACCTAGAATAAAATCCTAAAGATTCTTATTATATCCTCTTTAAGATTTTTCTTGACTGATTTGGAGTTATTGCCAATTCACAACCACCAAAGTCGGGGGAAGAGGACAGACAAAAGCAGGAGGATGACTTGTTTCTCCATTTGAAAACCCTCTATACTCTTATGAAAGATCTAAGAGCCACAAGGGAGCTAGCAATGTGAAAAGGAAAAGTGAATACAGCGAATCAGAACACCAAAGTATGAGTGAGTCACTTTTTCTTGTCAACTTTCACTTTTGCCCACTCATACTGAAATATCTTCTATACTGACACCAATGCTGTGGTGCCAATGCTGGCATCCAAAATTGGCACTGGTTCCAATCCCAAATGCTTTACTTCAGATCCACCTCCCTGCTAATGTGACTGAAACAGCAGAGAAAGATACCACATATCTCTTACTGCATCCACATGAAACCTGGAAAAGCTCCAGATTCCTGACTGGTTTGGCCCACCACCAGGCATTGCAGCCATTTGGGGTGTGAACCAGCAGCTGAAAGCTCCCTCTCTCTCTGTCTCTTCTCCTCCTCTCTGTAGCTCTGCCTTTACAATAAAAAATAAACATAGTTCTTAAAAAATCTATCTTCCTATTGCTTTTCAGCCTGCTGGCTAATATCAAGTACAAAAAAAGTATATTTTCTATTGTATTAAAGTTACAGAATATAATTACTACATTATTCCAGGCAGTAAATGATTATAAAAGAGTTTTTTAATCTTGAAAAGCTTTTTAGAAGAAATATGATTTAAGGTCTGTTACTTCCTAATATATACTTCATATTAACTAGAATTTTGCCATATATTTTGTTATTTTGACAAAAGTCAACTTCTAAAATACTGTTTGTGTTTCATCAGCTTGACAAGCAGTGTGACAGAGGGAGAGAGGGCAATCTCCCCGAACTAGCTCCCTCTTTAAACGCTGACAACAGCTGGAGTGGCAGTTCAAAGCAGGAGCCAGGAACTCCGACTCAGTTTCTCACATTAGTGGCAGGGGTCCCAACACTGATTCATTCACCTGCTTTCTCCCAGGATGCATTAACATCGGATGATTACATCAGATGCGTAAGTGCTAGGACTCAGAGCAACACTGAGCACCCACTGATGCAGCGTGGGGATACTCCAAGCAGCAGTTTAACGTGCTGTGTCACTATAGCCACCCCAAATGCAAATGACCAGGAAGACAATCTAAACAAACCTATAACAAGCAATGCTCCAAGACCTGATGTTTAAACTATTGAATGCTACAAAATGTTCTTGAGAGGCAGTAACTTCAATACTTAACAAGATTTATTTATTTTTATTCGAAAGGCATATTTACAAAGGAGAAACAGAAGATTTTCCATCCACTGGCCCACTCTCCAAAGGGCAACAGCCCAAGCTGAGCTGATCCAAAGTTGGCAGCCAGGATTTCTTCTAGATCTCTGATTTGAGCCTCCTCTGCAGCTTACTCAGGCCACAGAGAGCTTAACTGGAAGTGGAGCATTCGGGACATGGGATGCCAGTGGCCACAGGATGGAGGATTAGCTTGTTCAACCACAAAGCCAGCCAATATTTTTCAAAATATTGAATGAAATGCAACTAAAGACAGCACAAAAGAAACCTACAGCCCTACATCCTTAATGAAACAGATGCAAATATTCTCAGAAGACAAGCAAACTGAATCCAAAACCATACCAAAAAGATCACTCATCATGATCAAGTGGGATTTATCTGAGAAATGCAGGGGGGGTCTCAACATTTTGAATCAGTAATCATAAACTACATCAACAGAATAAAGAACAAAAACCATGTGGTCATCAATAGATGTAGAGAAACTATTTCAATGCACTTACTGACAAAAAGCCATCACACATTATATATAGAAGGAATATACATCAAAATTATTATAACGTTATATTTCACGTTATATTTCATGTATCATACTAAATGAGGAAATGCTGAAAGCACTTCCTGAGATCTGAAACAAGATGAGGATGTCTACTTTTACTACCCTTGTTTCAATTAGTACTGTGAATTTCCATCAAGAGTTGTCAAGGAGGAGAAAAAAAATAAAGGAACATCAAAACGCAACAGAGGATGTTAAATTCTCCATGTTTATGGATGATCCAGTGTTGTAAGTGGAAAAAGCTAAACATGTCACCAAAGAGGTGTTGGAACTGATATAGCTAATCAGGAAGGTTCCAGGTTACAAAATAAAAAAAATGCACAAAAAGCACTAATAGTGAACTCATTGAAACAGAAATCAAGATAGAAAGCCCCTTGACAACAGCCATTGAAAAACACGACATAATTGGTCTAGGAATAATTCAATCATAACTGAAAGATTTCTGCAGTGACAATTACCATATCCCAAGTTTGTCAAGTTTAGTAGATTTGTATGCCCTAGGCTCTAATACTCGAAGTTAAATACGTATTCTAAAGAAAAGAAAATTTTAACAGATAAACTTTACAATGGTTTAAGGACACAATAAAGATAACTAAATAAAAAAGTAAGAATTAGGGACTGGCAGTATGGTGTAGTAAGCTAAGCTTCAGGCTGTGGTGCTGGCATCCATGTGTGCAGTAGTTCAAGTTCCAGCTGCTCCACTTCGGATACATTTCTGACACAAACTAGAGCCCATATGGCTTCCAGATTTATCGGTTATGCTGCAACTCCAGCTGCCCAATTCACAGTTCTTCATGTTGGGCCAACGACATGCTAACACATGGACTTTAGGGGTCGGGCTGTGGTGTTGCATTGTGACTTAGCAAGCTAAGCTTACAACTGCAGAGTCAGCTTGCCACATGGACAGTGGTTCTTTCTCCAGATGCTCCATTTTTGAATCAGCTCTCTGTTTATGGCCTGGGAAAGCAGTGGAGGATGGGCCAAATCCTTGGCCTCCTATGCCTATGTGGGAGACCCTGAAAAAGTTGCTGGCTCCTAACTTTTGATTTCAGATAAGCTCAGTTCAGCTCTAGCCACTGAGGCTATCTGGGGAGTAAACCAGCAAACAGAAGATTCTTTTTCTGTGTGTATCTGTCTCATCCTTCTTTCTGGAACTCTGTCTTTCAAATAATTTTTTTAATCTTAAAAAAAAAAAACACATGGGTTTTATCAAAATCAACCCACTATCTACTTCTATTTTACATTGTATAAGATTCATGAAAGATTACTTTTCAAGAGCAGAAAAAAGGCAAGTATTTGGCACACAGGCTAAGGTCCCATGTGAGACATGGCCATCCCACATTACAGTGTCTGGGCTCTACTCCTGGTACTACTCTCCAACTCTAGCTTCTTGCTGAGGCACACACTGCAAGCAGCACATGACAGCCCAAGCAGTTCTGTCCTTTCCACATGTATGGAAGACCTGAATTCACCTGCAGGCCTCTGCCTCAGCCTGTCCCAGACCTAGACTGTGAAGGCATCTGGAGAATGAAACCAAAGATAAATTTCATTTCCTTTGGCTTTCAAATAAGCAAGTTAATAAAAATTTTTTTAACCAAGGACAGGCAGCTATAAACTAGACACCAATCACATGGCCAAATGTTTAGCTTCATGCTACAGTCTGAGTGGTACCAATGATATTAATTCTTTAAAAATAATGGAACTGAAAAGTGAGTAACGGGTAGGTAGACTCTTTAAGAGGACTATGCCTTGAGATTCATACCGCAACAGATTGTGCATGTTCCTTCCAAACCTTAAATATGAAAAGCTTCTCTTTGAAGAAGACTCAACAATGACACTACAGAAATGAGCCAAATTATTCTCCTGGCAGCCATTTAGCTGGGATACAATGGCAACAAACATTACAAAGAGAAAACTTACACGTTAAAAAGTTGAAATAAGTATCCTCTGATAAAAGAAACCAATAGGTTTTTCCAAACATACTTTAAGAGCTAAGAAAAAAAGAGTTCAAAGAGGCCTATTTCTAAGATTGTACACTACTTACTTAATATAGTAATGTCTACAGAAAGTTTCATTTATCACATTCTGAGGCATGAGTTTTTAAGTAATTCAGACATGCATTAATGTTTATCAAAAGCCAATGAAAAAGGTATTTCCTCAAGGTCTAGAGTTAAGATTTGAGACATATATAGTATGCAAAATCGTTCGATAATTAAATTACCTGGAAGTAGAAGTCTAATATACCAACCATGTCTGTGCCTTCTGGAAAACACTGAAAAAAAAAAAAAAAGAGCAGAAACAATCAAAAATATATACACAGGGTAGAAATCACAAAAGTAAAAAAAAAAAAAGACTAAATTTAAAAGGTATAAAAATGTTCTGTTTCAATTAAGAATAAAAAAGCAGCATGTAACCAATAAAATGGCATAAATATGAAATAAAACTACACTGAATTATAAATGTCTAATAAATATGAACTGACAATAAAAAATCGATTAATAATTAGACCAGCCACTTAAAATAATCAAGGGCTATAAACACTAATAATGCATATTTTCAAAAAGCAAAATAAATCTCAAGCAGCATTTTCACTAGTAAAACCAGTGAAATATTCACACAATTTCAGATAGCAATCAACATAATAATAAATTTTATAACATTGGTTAGTTTTATAACATTGGTTCAAGCGTTATTTTGTGGATATTTATACACCTCATGCAGTAAGCATATGTCTTCATTTATTTTATTCAAAAAAACAATTTGAAACACACAAAAAAATATTAAAACCTTCTTTTCTTTTAAGTAATATCCTATGGCAAAATTTCGGTCTCCACTTTCTCTTTCAGACTGAAACCTAGAAGATAAGGGGGAGAAAATTGGCTCCATTAATATGCATTCTGTAAAAATGTGATTATTCTTTATTCTAATCAGTACAGTATATAAAAGACGAAAAAATAAGACTCAGGACTGCTAAATTCTGCCTCAGGTTAGTTACTTGGCCTTGCATCCAGTAATTTCAATGATAAACAATTCAAGTCTTAATCGTAGAGTGATTGTAAAGAAACTCTGGTCCTTCCTAGTTTGCATATTTTGTGAACAAAGAATTTCACTTCTAAATTTTCAAATATTCAACCACTAAAATATACTGAAAAATTGCTGCAACTTCTGGCTCCCTGCAAACATAAGGAAATGCATGGAAATTTCATTGAGAGGGATACACGAGACCAATCTTAGCAGATTTCCAGGGCAAACCTAAGTAGTAGCAAGACCCATGCAGCATGAACAACATTCCAGAGGTACCAAAGGCACAGCACAGCAAATCAGTAAGTGCGATAGATTACAGTAACAAAACGAAGGATAAAAAGCCCTAAGATGCCACCCACCCTCACCACCATCATTCAACATAATTTTGGAAGTTTTAAGTTAGACATTAGGCAAGAAAAAGAAATGAAAAGGACACAAAACTGGAAAGAAGAAAGTCAAATTATCTCTGCAGATGATATGAAGCAAAACTCCACTTAAAGACAATGGAAACACTGTTGAAGGATATGAATAAAGGAATTGCAGAATGTAAAATCAACACAATAATTAGTAGCATTTCTATGTACCAATAATGCTCTGGTTAAGAAAAACCAGATGAGTTCCATTCACAGTTACCAAAAACCCAAGCATGTGAAAAATCTCTAAAAGGCAAATCATAAAAACATGAACAAAACAACATTCATATTCAATATTCAACAATAAAAATGAAAGCAGAATGCATCAGGTTACCAGATTTCAAGACATACTAGAGGGCCATTTCTAATCAAAAGAGCCTGGCCCTGTCACAAAAACAGACATGTAGACAAAAGGAACAGAATAAATATCCCAGAAATCCAGGCATGTACAAACAACTCGTCTTTCACAAGCCAAATCAAATCATCCCTTGAGAAAGAATGGACTCATCGAGAAAGAATGGACTCATCAACAAAAGGTGTTGGGAAAATTGGATTTCCATATAGCATTAGTTATATACTACACAAAAATATCAACTCACAACAGATCAAGAATCTAAATTTAGGGTCTAAAACTATCAAATCACCAGGGAAAAACACTGTAAGGCACAGACTTAGGCAAAGATTTCTTGATCAAGAGTCCCTAAAGCACAGGCAATAAAAGCCACACTAGACAAACAGGATGATAGACCAAGCCAAGAAACTTGTACATTGCAAAGGAAACAACAAAGTGAAGAGACAACCAACAGAATGCGAGAAAATATTTGCAAACTATGTCTCTACTAAAAGATTGATATCCAGAATATAAAAAGGGTTCAAGAAATTCAACAAAAAACTACTTAAGAAATGTGCTGAGGGGTTATTAAACAGGCATTTGTCAAAGGTGGCAATACAAATGGCAAAAAAACACAAAATTTGCTCAGGATCACTAGCTATCAGAGAAATGCAAAATAACAACCACAATAAAATATTACCTCACTCCAGTTGCAATGAGTATTATTCAAAAATCAAAAAGTAACAAATGTTGGCAAGGTTGTAGAGAAAAGTACTCTAATATACTGTTGGTGAAATGCAAATTAGTATAATCATTATAGGAAACATTATAGTCCTCAGAAAACTAAAAATAGATCTACCATTCAATCCAGCTATCCTACTTTTGGGAAAATACTCAAAGGAAATGAAATTAGCATATGAAATGGTCACCTGTACTACCATATGTTTAACTCATAATAGCAAAAATACGGAATCAATCTAGACATCTACCAACTGTTGACTGGATAAGAAAAGGAGGTATACAGCCACAATGGAGTATTACTCAGCCATTAAGAAAAAAACGAAATCCTAGTATTTGCAACAAATGGATGACTGATAGGCTAAATATTCACCATTTTAATTAGGTTTAGAAGCAGTCATGAAGATGGAGTGCCGATGATGGGATTGGTGTTCAAATCAGAGCTCTATGTCACTACACCTTTGAAGTGACTAAACACTCAAAATACAGTTGTTTAAAATAAAATAAGATTTGGGCCCGGCGTGATGGCACAGTGGTTAAGGTCCTCGCCTTGCATGCCCGGGATCCCATATGGGCCCCGGTTCTAATCCCAGCGGCCCCGCTTCCCATCCAGCTCCCTGCATGTGACCTGGGAAAGCAGTCGAGGACGGCCCAAAGCCTTGGCACCCTGCACCCGTGTGGGAGACCCAGAAGAGGCTCCTGGCTTTGGATTGGCTCAGCTCCAGCCGTTGCAGCCGCCTGGGGAGTGATTCATCGGAAGGAAGATCTTCCTCTCTGTCTCTCCTCTCCATATATTCGCCTTTCCAATAAAAATAAAATAAATCTTTAAAAAAAATAATAAAATAAGATTTAAAAAGACTAGCATTGTGGCATAGCCGGTGGGGCTGCCACCTGCCAGGCCAGCATTTTACATGGGTGTTAACTGTAGTCCTGGCTGCTCTGTGTCTGGTCTAGCTCCTTGCTGGCGCAGGTGGGGGGCAGCAGAAGACCCAGGTCCTTTGGCCCCAGCATGTGGGTAGGAGACCTGGATGGAGTTCCTGGCTCCTGACTTTGGCTTGATCCAGCCCTAACTACCATGGCCATTAGGGCAGTAAGCCAATGGATGGGAGATCTGGATCTCTCTTCTATGGGTTCTTTCCATTCAAATAACTAAATAACTAAGCCATTTTAAAAAATGTCTAACTGAAATAAAACAGAACAGGAGACAAATATCAAGTTTTTCATATTTGCAAAAGTTTGCATATCAAGTATAAAAATTATGTGGCTGTCATATCAGAGTAACACTGCATCATGCCATATAAATGATGATATATCCTTTCCCCTTGTTATGATCAGTCATGAATCACTGAATTGTAATATTAATATCCTAAAAATATGGCTATATGTACATATAATGTCTACATTTGAAGTGAATGCCAAAGCATTTTTAAGAAATGTTAAAACTGGAAAAGATGAAAAAGTCAGAACTTCACTAAAAAGTGGCAAATATCCTGATGTATCTGAACAAGGTTCATGGAGAAGAGCAGAAAACTGCAAAAAAGTAGCAAAGGAGATGAGGACCAAATTATCAAGACCAGTAAATGTCAAAGACTATAATGGCTTCTGACTATTCACAAAACAAAAGCCTGAGACTTGCAAACAAGTTGCCTTGTCAGATCCACAGTTCAGAAGGAGAACGCTAATACCAGTCTGGTAAAGAGAAAGGGTGAATGACGTATTAGGAGATTCCTATTATGCTTCAGAAAGCCTGAATTTAGGATGTGATTAAATACCAGGAGGATGGACAAATCACCATCCTGCTGAGAGAGGGGAGAGTGAGGATAAAGTCTGATACTGAGCTTAGATTTCAACACGCCTATGGAGAAGATGTATTATTACTATTATCTCATAAGAAAGCTTCAGAAGTAAACTGGAAGACATATCACTACATCCAAGTCATAAGGAGATCTGAGTTAAACAGTGGTAACTGGGCAGGGACATAGAGGAAATTTAATAATCATGGAACTTAATTTATTGAGAGTACAAGAAATTTTTCATTTGGTCAAAAGATTTCCTGATCTTCCTCTCTCTTCTCCTCACTGCATATCTGATGTTGCAATAAAAATAAACAAACCTTAAAAAAAGAAAAGATTTCCTAGCAAAGATACTTAGGCTAATGAATTAATGTTAGTAAGGCATACAACCTAAAAGTGTTTAACCCCAAGATGTGAAACACAGATACAAATGTAACAAAATACAGAAATAAAGGGTAAATATTTATGCTAAAACTTTCACATTTTTTAAAAACACCAAGCTCACAAGGAAACAAGTAAATTAAAGATGGAGATTATCCATGAAACCTATGGGCCAGACCTGGTCTGTTACATGCTTTAATTAGTACAGTGTTATTGAAACAGTCTTACATTGTCTATGTCTATTAAAACAGCAGAAATGAACACGTGCAAAGAGTTCATGCAGCCCCAGAAGCCTGGTTCTTCAAACTAGCCAGTCAATTCCTGCTCTAAGACACAAGGGACTGGACGCTTTTCAAAAGCAAGCAAGCAATCAACCAAAGCTCTGTTACTTTGAAAAAAACCAAGATTTTACAACATGAAAATTACGTTTTAACCAAAACACAGTCAACAAGTGTAAAACTTCAATTAGCTCTTCAACTAAATAATAATAGATACACAGGGACAACTGGAAACATTGACAAATTAGTGTCATATTTTAAAATTAATTCTTTTCTTAATTGTGTGAAGGTATTACGACAACCTAGAAGAATGCTGCTGTACACTCGTACACGCAGATGGATTTAAAGATAGCATGTCATAGTATCTAGAACTTTATTTCAAACAGTTCAGCAAAAATGAATGTAAATTTACATTTATGTGTTTTTAGATACATCTATTTTTATCAATAGAGATTGATAAAAAGAAAATGAGGCAAAACATTAAAGGTAAGAAAAAGATATTTGCTATCCTTTGCTTAGTCTTGGTTCTATAAATTGCCCAATTTCAATAAAAAGTTGGGGTAAAAATCAAGTTAGCCAAAAACAAAGATATAAAAGAGGTAAGACAGGTATTACAGGCAAAGAGAAAGTTGAATAAGTGCCAGTAATTTGAAGTAAACAGAGTCCTTTCTGATCTACGGTCAGCTAAACAATTTTATTAAGTACTAGTTATTTTAAGTGTTCTCAAGCAATTTAGATAGCAATCATTTACTCTTCATCAAATTTTAAGTATTTATTCACTGAAATAAGACCTGGGACCTACCAAAAAAATGAAAAATTAAACTCTAAATATAGTCTACACACAAACACACAAAGATCTGTGTGCGCATCTATAGGTGAAGTTGCAAACCATTACTTAAAATCTTCCAATTTTTATTAAAAAGGACCGACCAACTGTAAAAACCTAAGTCACAAATTAGACTCACGTTGCATTACTGAATCCAACATATTCATTACCAGCCATCTTATTCAAAAACTGCATCACCTATAAACCAAAATTACAAAGTATTAGTGAATGAAAAGAAGAAATACATAAAGAATATGGCATAACAATTGAATTCTATGTTGCACTTACGTAGTCAAATTTCTCAGCATTATTTACGCCTTGCTGCAGAGAAATAAGAAATAAAAATATGTTAATAGGGTACTACCACAGTTAAATTCCAAATTAATAAAAATGTTAAAATCCCAAACAGCTACCATTATAATTAAAACATTACACAAAAGTACTAAATCTAGGAAACGGTTCTAAAATAAATTTATATTTAAATTTTGCACGTGCTTTAACAGCCACTTTTGAATGCTCAGAACTACAATGAGGATACTTTATTCTAAGCCTATCGTTACACCCAACCCAAAATTACAGAATTTTAAACACAAGGTACACTTAAATCCCCTTATCCTCCGCACATACAATTAATCTGCCATATACATATAATTTAATTTCAAATTTAAAAAGTGTAATTTCAATCTAAAAATTAAATATATACAAATCATGTTCAATCATAAAAACCTTAAACCAATATTAGAGTTAGAAAAATGAGTTATGTTGCAAAAACTAATCTTTTGTAACTGTAATATATACAAATATTCTGGATGCATTTTACTAATATGTGAAGAAAGCGGTCCCTTAAATCTCACTAATTTTCAATAATACTTCTACTGAACAAAAATTCTACTTCATAATATCTAAAAATCAGCTATATTAGTAGTTAGCATAATGCCAATTCAGCATATGAAAGATGTATTGTTTCATCACTTCTAATTCTGGCATGTTATCTACTGCAAATGTCAATAGGAAAAACCTATGTAACATAGATCAGTTCAAGTAGCCAAATGGCTTCATTTTACCTCGGCGAAGTTTACAAAGCAGTAAGTGGTAGATCTGAAATCAAACGTATTAATTGGTGATATGCACCCAACAGAAACAATACATCTCTAATGTCTAAAGCAGGCTTAAAATAATCTGACAACTAGTTTTCAAAACAACTTCACCCCCAGAAATTACTTTTGAATTGTAATTATGGGGCACAGGGAGAAGCAATCTGCATCACATTATCACTGAACTGAATAAAAGCCAGGTCCATTCTCCACTCTACAGAATTAGGTTATGGTTGATAATATATCAAACTCTACAACTTATTTGAGAAATATTTACAAGCATACATATACAATCAGTAGCTGGAAGGAACACATTATTTAAATCAAAATTACGCATCAACAAAACTTGAAATAAGTATAATTTAACTACAGCCAGATTGTAACCCTTATTTTCTCTAAAGCACCCTTTGACATGTTTTAAGTTCTTTTCTTATGATATACCAGAAATCAAAATGTAGAAATGAAACTCCAAAGCTGTTCAATGAAAAATAATTAAAAGAAGAAATTACCAACTTCATTGAACTGTTGCAGTTGTCAAAATATTCCATAGATCCTAATGCTGTAAAATATGTAACAACATTTAAGCCACAAAAACCTTTTTAATCTTTGAAGAAAAGCACAAAACCCCAACTCTTTTGGAAAAGGATGTCAGCATTTGCATTGGGATGTCACATGGAAAATAACTGATTATACAATCAATGTATTAAACAAGTAATGTTGAACATTCATTTTCTGTCCTAAACTGTATTTTCTGTCCTAAACTGTATATTGCAAAATAAAAATTTTCCATATTGAGCTGTCATTTTAACATAAAATAATAAAAAGCATTTCAACTCTAGATTGTGGTCACATACTTGATATATTTTGTGGCTCAGTAAATTAAAGCACAATTAAGCTTTGCTTTTATATGTTATCTTAAAGAAATAACTGATATCAGCTAATTCTGTTATATGATATTTTGGGTAAGCAACTTGAAACACTCAGGGGAAAACTTGATAATAGTAAAATAATAGTAAAATAATAGTAATAATAGTAAAATAATAGTAATATTATCAAATACTTGATAATAGTAAAATATTGATTGACTCTGTTAACTCAACAATGCCTCTCCCCAAAACATGGCCATTTAAATGTAAAGACATTTGTTTAATGTTTCTTAATCTTTAATCTTAATAGTGAAGTGACATTTAACCTAAGTCAATACAATATATTTGCTCCTTTATCTCTTAGATTTCATGTTCTTCAGGGATACATAGAAACTAATAATCATTAAGATGCCATGTTATTTTATTTGTGAAAAACAATTTAAGCTCTTAAGGAATACATATAACACTACAAAGCCAGTCATAATCATTGTGGAGGCATGGAGGAACAGATTTTAGGAAAATTAAAGCATGGGGACAGGTATATGGAGGCTGATTCTTCTATTTATTTTGCATATGTTTGGATTTTTTGTAGCCAAAAAGGCAAAATGTTACTTGTTAATCATGTCCCACACTACTTTGCAAGATTGCTTTGTTTTGAAAATTTTCCATTTTCTTTGAAATTGTAATTGATCTTTAGTTCATGTTATCAGTGGATATTTTTCTGCTGGTAGCATCACAGATTAAATCCCTTCCCAGTATTTTTTTAAAGTTTTACATATACTTGACTTAAGAAATCTTGCTTTCAATAGATGTGAAGTGTAAAAGCAAGTTTCAGTCCAGCAGTGTCATTTTTTCCCATGCCTTTATCTCATTACCTGCCAAACATCATGTACTAAATCTTTCCTCACAAATTACACTAATCCTCTTATTGACTGACAATTGCCTTGATTAATCCTCTTGCAGTTGTGTCCAAACCAAAGAACTAGAACAACTGAAGATCCAACAGGATTTATTCTCAGTCATCATAATGATTCACATCCTGTACACTACTTAATTCAGTATTTCAAAATGTTCTGTGAGGGCACGATTAGTGCATGAAACGTTTGAACATTCCTAATAAGTGCACCGTAAGAAAAACTGGGACACAAGAAAAGGATGCCTTTCTTCAGGGAAACAGGAGGACATTCAGACCAAAGGAAGACAAACTTCAAGAAAGGCACATCTGGAAATCAGATGCCTTCAAACTGTTAACGCCCTCCTTTCCACCGGAAAGAATTTAGATCCTCAGGCATATGATTACTTTTTAGAAGATTATAGGATAAGCGTTTAGATGTCATTTTAATTTTAAAAAGTTACAATAATTCATAGCAAATACAACAAAACATTTTTTAAAGAAACTAAGCTGGACAAAATATATTGGCCAAAATTTCAAATTAATTCAGCAAACGACCATGCTGTGTTTGTAAATGTCAGATACCTATATCAGAAAATGACACTTTTATTTTTCAATAAACATATACCTATCAGTTATAGCTTATATGCTTTAAATAATTTAATGATTTAATAATTTTAATTTGATGAAAAGGCACTGATTCAATCTAACCCTGATGGAATGTTTGACACTGTTTCTATAATACATTCGTGAAATGATTCTTACATTTTATATTTTAAAGGTGAAAACATCACTGCTATTATCTTTCAATAACTTCATAAAGTCAGTGCATGAAGCAGTTATTTCATAATCTGATTCTATTCCAAGTTTGTGAATACAAAGCTATTAAAAGTTAGAGATCATACAGGAATGAGGCAAAGTACTACCTAGCATGAGTAAATAAAGTATTCATCTTTCCATATAAACTGTTTTAAAGTGAAATAATACAACAATAAATAAAAATATATACTGCGGGACATATTAACAGAACAATGAATTTAGCTGTCAATAAATAATCTTTCAGTTAAAAAAATAAACCTTTAATACGCACCAATGATAGAAAAACATGAAGTAAACAGACCAACTGCTTGTTCAGAATGTTATCAAGTCCAAAGCATCATCCATCACTCCCCAGTCACAGACTACATAACAAATGTGACTTAAGTGTATATCTAACAGGTTGTTGCCAATATGATGAAAGGAGCAGTACATATAAAATGACTAAACTTGTCTTGATTTTCATGGACCATGACTACATTATGCAAAGAGAAAACTCCATTTTCTAAAATAAAAAAATTTCATTAGAATAAAGACATAACAATATAGAGTATAGAATAGCTTTCTATTTCTAAAATAAAAAGCAAACTGTGACAATTATTTTGCAGTATGTTGTTCTTAATTTCCCACCATAAGCCTCAAATCAAGTCATCACCCAAATTTAATCTAGGTGAAATTCTTACCACTGAAAACAAAGATACTGTCATTTCATTTAGATGTAACTGTGTTTCAAATTTACTTTTATCCTTTCCTCTAAATCAAGCAATCACACATTATCATCATCAAATATAACAGACTGTAACCAGAAGTATTCCTTGAAACTGAGCAGCTACCATAAAGAGGAAGTATAATAACCTTTATGTTTTGAATTATGTTCATTTTAAGCATAAAATGACATGTTTTTAAAAAGGTATTTACCTATATAGCTTTGATTAAAATTTTAAATATTGGAGTTTTCCTATAAGCTTAGTAGTTAAGAATTTATGCAACAGGTTCCTTCTGTCCAAATCCTCCTTTTTTCCACAATCTGCTAATCCTTTTGAACTTTTGCTCTGCCTCTTCCCCCATTTCCTGAGGATCACCATCAATCCTACAAGGAAAAAATATCAATACTACAAAATTAAGAAATAAAGAGTCTCACTAAAGACTCTACTTAATTTTTTTTTAGGGGGAGAATAACATGAGTAAAATTGTTCTAATGGCACCATTGCAAACTCCTGAATTTTGAATTAAAATAAAAGTCACAAGTCACAAATAACCTTACGGTCATCAACTTAAAGAGGTAAAAACAATTACATCTAGCAGTCATAATAAAGAACCTACACAGATGCTTCAGTAAGGAACTTGTTTCCTTACAGAGAGCAGACACTTGACTAATGTCCAAAGAATGACTACACACACCAAAAAACTGATGCAACTTTCAAGCCACATGAATTGGTTACTTTTTGTATGAGCTAAAGTAAAGAAAGCAGTATTTCTGCTTTTTATGCATAATGCTAATTAAAATTTTAAAAATCATCAGGAGAAACAGCAAATGCCAATATTAAATATGGCAGAGTGAATACTAATGAATAGCAGAGAGACTACTGGATCCAGTACAAGCCCATTTCTACTGCAACTACAATTTTTCCAGTCTTAATTTCCTCACACACATAAAGTCAATAGAACTGGGCTTGAAAATCTTTTTCCATTTCAAATCATTAATTTATAAATACTATGTAATCAATCATATAATTTGCAAAGATCAATCACATAAAAGCACTTACACATTATGAATTTAAAAAGTTATATACTCCATGCTCAGTTTTATATGGGATAATAATATAACTCCTAAGATCTATTATAAACTTAACTTAATAAAATAGTTCTCATGAAACACATTCTAAAAATAAAACAAAAATTCCAGTGACCTTAAATATGAATCAACACTCAAAGTCTCATTTCCAACTTGGTCAGTAAATCAATCTATAAATTTAAAATCACACATCAAATCAATAAATACAAGATGACTCAGTTAAATTTTTGCACTACTGAACACTGAATCAGATTTACATTGTATGTGTGTTTTAGCTATTCTAATTGCTCATACTAATGTGGCTCCATGTACAGCTAATGGCTTATAACAGAAAATGGTAAGTGAAACTAATGAAATGACCATGATATGACAAGACATGCAATTTTCACATGCAATATTACATCATAGTCCATAAAACCTATGAAGTATTTCACAGACTTTTGGCTGCATGCTGTTAAGGAAGTCCCCTATTAATTATTTACATATGCTGGTTGTTTTGTTTGCTTTTTGAGAATACTATTGGTGTATCATATTGATCCTTTGCCAGTATAAGAATTTTTAAACTGAAATTCATTGATCAGATTCAATGAAACCCCTTAAGATTATGGTATGTCAAAATTCTTCAGAGAAGATTCAAAAAAGGTTCAGAACCATCCCAATGTTTATTTCAACATTTTATTAAATGAACATTTTATTAAAATAATTTCCTTGATTCTGATTCAAGAAGCTTATGTAAATGCTTAATTAATGAGACATTCATCACAGCATTTTTAAAACTTCATTATAAAGGTTCATTTGCATCATCATAAGGGTTCATTTGCTTGAATGTATCCCATACCTAACTGCCAAGCTGCCTAAGGGCAGGATTGCATCAACAGATATTCACATTGTCATTTTCTATAGTCAATTCTTTCTTTCATCCCAGATTAACCCTTCTCTTATGTAATAATCATAAATAACTAGATGTTATAATGGGAAAAACAAAAATTTCCACATCCTATTCAAATTAGTTATATTTGAAAACACGTGGCTATACTTTCTTCATTGATACTAGTTCCAAGTAGTGGATGAACCAACGCTTATAGAGTAATGAGTAAACGTATATATTCTTAACATTTTTTTCAAGTTTTTTTCTCATGATATATATAAGTAAGAAAATATTCCTAATATGTAAACTTTAATAAATTGGACCAAGAATATGATTTATACCCAAAGATTCTTTGTAGTAACTAGTTATCCTGGTGATTTTATTAACAAAGCCATACAGTTATGTTCCATTCTAATATGGAATAGGTAGACACATTTTAAATGAAGAAAGTATATAAATGTCCCAAACACAAAAAGAAGTTTTTAATAAAAATCCATAACTGGAAATTAAAATCTAAAATTCTCTAAAGTTATGAGATTTTTATATCACAATAACTCTTTTCAAATGCTTGTTTCAAAAAAACCTGGAAGTTTCCAATTATTAAGGCAAGCCAAATAATAAAAGAAAATCAACACACAATGCAAACTTCAAAGCATAAGAAAAATAACATAACTTAATAATTGGAATAAGCCTTACTTCAATCATGACATGATTTCATCAAAAGCAAACCGAGTTGAGACGACAGGATTCCAGCTCATGAGAGTACTCAAGAGTAAACAAAGTACTAGTTTGGTCCTACATATATTAGTATTATACAGTAAAACACTTTTAATTCTGTTTCCATCTATTAATTCTAGAAGAGCCAAAAAGAAAGTAAAAGTTTTTCAACCTTTAAGGAAACGCTCTATGTCTATTGTTCAGGAGACTCTCTAAACATTTGCCAGATCTTCAAATCAAGAGTCAGTTAGCCACTGGAATGGAAATGTGTCATCTATGCTTAATCCTGACCTTGAAATTATTACATCATTTACTTTGAAACAAATATAAACAATTGCTTCTACAAAGTTTTTAATATCAAGAGAAAAATTTTCGTAATTCTATACGAATAATCCAAGATTCATCATTATTCCTTAATTACTACAAAAGTTACTAGATTAAAAGGAAATATTGACATTTTACCTTTATTAATGAGGTCACAACAATTGCTCCAGCATTTACCATAGGATTGTGTGGTTTATCTGTAAAATTCAAAAGTAATGACATTATTTCAAATAAATGGGATCATTTCCTCCAATGTACGGCTGCACCTCATCCAACATGAACTTGGGTTTCTTTTTTAAATATGTGCCACTGTTACAGCAGGACTTTGCTGAGGGAATTCTCTTTTCAAACTTAAATTTACATACTAACCTTATAATTCCATTGTAGGATAATGCTCTAATAATCATCAATCAGACAAGGACTCATGCACAAAATACAGCGTAAGTAATATTTCCATCTAATACATGGCAAAAATGCCATACACACAATTCTTGAGGAACAGTAAAAACATAATTGCAAGCATGCTTCCTCACTTATCTGTTGGAGTGATTTACTTCTTGAGGAATGAGTTCTTATCTAACTTGACAAACTGGCACAGCATTTAAATTTATTACATTATTACTCTCCTAAAATTTAACAAAGGTATATTCTGTCAGACAGGCTTCCAGTTTAACAACTCTGCTCTGGAAAAGTCTAGCAGGTCCCCAAAATGTTAAACATACATTTACCATGGGACCCAGTTATTATTCTACTCCCAGGTACATAACAACAAAAGTATTCACACAGAAACTTGTATACAAATATTTAACAAGATTTATTGATAAAAACCCAAAAAATGGGAACTCAAATGTTTCATCAGCTGGCAAGTGGACAAATAAACCAAGGTATAAATTCATGCAATATGCCATTATGAAAAGGAGTGAAGATACAACACAGATCAACCTTAAAAGCATGAAGCCAGGGCCCCAGAAAGGAGTTAAGCCACCACCTTTAACACAGCATCCCACTGGATACCAGTTTAAGCCCTGGCTGCTCTACTTGTGGTCCAGCTTCCTGCTAAAGCACCTTGGAAAGCAGAAGATGTCGGCCCAAGTGCATGAGCCTGTTTTCCACATGGGAAACCCAAATGAAGCTCCTGGTTCCTGGTTTTGCCCTTGATCAGCACTGGCTTTGCAGCCACCTGGAGAGTGCACCAGCAAACTAAAGATTTGTTTCTCTCCCTGTAACTTTCAAATAAACAGATACCTTTTTTTGAAACTAAGCTAAAATAAGCCAGTCCTAAACACTATATATCTGATTCCATTAACATGAAATTCTTTAAACAGGGAAGTCTACAGATAAAAGTAAGTTACAGAAAGCAGGGTTCTTTTTGGGAGTTATTGGGAGAAGCAATGTGGTGAAGGAATGTTAAGACTGGCACTAAGCCTTACTGGGTTAAACCACTGCCTGCAACAACAGGCACTCCATATGGGCACCTGTTTAACTCCTGGTTGCTCCAATTCTGATCCATATTCCTGCTTAGCAGAGCTCCTGGCTCTGGCCCTACCAGGTTCTGCTGCAGTAGCCATATGGGGAACAATTAAAGTTAAGGAAAAGTCAGAAACCCACATTATATACTTTTACACTATATTCCACATGTGGTTTAACTCTGAAGTGAGCATTTGCATTTTCTCCAACCAATTTCTACCTTTTCGAAATAATTCAGTTCTGTTACACTCACGTAAACTAACTCCTTTCTCAATTCTAATAAACAGTATGTAATGCTCAATACTGTCCTCCTGACCCACAAACATAAGTTATTTTTTAACATTTTACTTATTTAAAAATAGAGTTGGGAGGATAGAGTTCTTCCAGCTACTGGATCATACCCCAAATGGCTGCCAATAAGGGTTGAACCAGATCAAAGCCAGGAGCTTTTTAGGGGACTCTCCAGGGCACTTGACCCATCCCTCTGCTTCTTTCCCAGACACTTATGAGCTGGGAGACAGATCAGAAGAGGAGCCCCTGGAATCTGAATCAGTTACCATAGGGGATGTGGGCATCACAGGACAAGTTTTACCTGCTATACCACAATGCCAGCACAGAGAAGTATTATTTTTAGTATCGATAGCCCAAAATGCCCTCCAAAGTTGTTAACATATAGATAAGAAGGCTGTACAAATATTTGTTGATTAACCTAATCTCTACAAGGTTAAAAAGCAAAATTAACTTACAAAAAGTAACTATTGACTCACTAACAATAAAAAACATTAGCCAACTTCTACCACAGGATCAAAGCAGTTTATACTGTAAACATTTTAAAACTTCTGCTGTTGAAAAACTTAAACAATTATTATATATATATTCATTATACTCATTTTAGATTTATCATTATTTTATAAAACTTGAATAACACTAAATTTATCTTATAAATTCTGTAATGCATGAGGGGAGGGCACAGGGAGGGATTGGGGGAATCCCAGAACCTATGAAACTGTGTCACATAATGCAACGTAATTAATAAAAATAAATAAATTTTGTAATGGTAAAGACACACATCCACATACCTTCTAAGTAAATAGTTTTACCATAAATGTTCCCTTGACATTTTACATAGAAAAGATTTTCAAACTGCTTTTTGCTAGGGCTGGTATAAACTAAGACTCAAGGGCACAAAATCTACTTAAAACTTAAAAAGTGAGCACAATAACAAGGCCTTTATTTTAACATGATTTTCAAAACCCCCGTAGTTGACTCATTAGGAAAAAGATTAAAGACGAAAATCTTTTTTTTTATTAAAATTATAAAAGTGCTAAATTCCTGAGTTTCTATAAACTTTTTGGGATGTATTTATCTAATTTGAAAGGTAAAGTTATTTTTCACCCTCTGGCTTACTTCCCAAATGGCTGCAATGGCCAGGACCAAAGCTCCAGGCCAAAGTCAGGAGCTTCCTCTGGGTACCCACCAGCCCACTGCCTTAAGCAATCCTCCCCTGGTTTCCCAGCTGCATTAGCAGGGAGCTAGATTGAAGTGGATCAATTGGACCTGAATCGGTTACAGACAACATCACAACCCACTATGTCACAAATGGGGACCCAATGATTTTTTTTCTTTGGTAGACTTTGCTACCAGCATTCCTTAAATCATGAATATACATGGCAATAGAATTACTTAGAGTTCTTTACTTCAAGTCCATTTCATTGTTTTTATGCCTGGAATACTTAATGCCTATTTCCTGTGCTTGTTACTTTCTAGTCTTTAAACAGAGGTCTTAAAAATCATTGGATTCATCAGGCTCAAATATATTATTCTCCTTTGCCCTTCACAAGTAATGTTATTTTTCTTGAGAAAGTAATCCTGCTAGACAGAACGTTAAATGTGGATGTCAGTGAGCCTAACTCTAATAAAGTATTCATGCATGTGATGCCCTTGCCAAAGTTGCTACTTTATAGGAATCTCCATGAAATGTAGCATCAAGATACAAAGATTATGGTAAAATAGATTGTTAAAATGTAACTAAAAAAACCACAAGCAGTAAGTCAGCAGAGGAAAAATCAGAGCTGCACCTTCATTTAAAAAGGTAGTAAGATGGGGAAGATGGGGCATGTGCTATGACTCAGTAAGTTAAGCCTCCATCTGCAGTGCCAGCACCCCATATATACATGGGTAGAAGATCCAGCTGCTCCACTTTCCATTTTGGAATCAGCTCCCTGCTAATATGCCCGGGAAAGCAAGACAATGGCCCAAAGTCCCTGGGCCCCTACATGTACATGGGAGACCTAGAGGAAGCTCCTGGCTCTCAGTGCTGGACTGGCACAGGCCTGGCAGTTGTGAGTTGTGGCCACATGGGGAATAAACCAGTGGGTCAAGGATCTCTCCCTTTCTGTAATTCTGCTTTTCAAAGAAATAAAATGAATCTTAAGAAACAAAACACTAGTAAGGAAAAATAAGCACAAGGCAAATTTCACTTTTCATCCCACTGAAAGGGAAAAAATATATAAGCATCTTTTCAAAAACCAATACTGCAGTCTTCACTCTTAACCTTCATAACTGTATCTTAATTCACTTGTACAGTAACCTAGCATATACTCTGAAGATTAAAAACAGAAATCAATACACATAACTGAAGTTTAATCTAGTTTATATCAGATAGATTCTGTTTATGAAGAGTAATATGAATACCAACATAGAATAGTTATGGAAAAATGGAACTAAAGTTTTGCTTATTCAGACACACACAAAACAATAAGGAATAAGGTTAAACAATCAGTGGTTTTCAATACACATTTTCCATATGGGCATTTGAAGATTTTTTGTATACTCATCACTTAGCAGCAATAATTACCCAAACCAATACTCATATCCAACACCCTGAGTTGTCTCCACTAAACTATCTTCAAGGAAACCTCAGAAACCTTGAAACTTTACAAGATATTCCCAAACTACAAGGTTAGAGAGAGAAAATCTTCCTATGTGCTCCAAACTTCCCTCTAGTCTACTCTAATGATATAATGTCTAAAATAGCCATTTTTAAAAGTAAACGACTGAAATTTTTATAGATTTCACAGAATTCATTGACCAATTCAAAGTACAAACATTTTCTTCAGAGTCAAAATAAAATTACTTAAATTTACATAGAAAACTTATTTTCTTTCCAAACATTGTCTGTATAATTCTTACCATCTTCATTTAAAAACAATTTGTTGAATCTTAATCCACTTGGCTCTTTCCCGACATATCGATGTACATATTCAGTTCCAAGGTCATTGACAGCGATGGCATATTTTAAAGGTTTAACACAAGATTGCAGACAAAAGGGAACTTTGGTATCACCGATAGAATGCCTATTTAAAAGCAGATTTAAAAACTAATTAACAGTAACAGAAAAAAACATAAATATATCACTTGTTAATCTTCAAAGATGTTAGTTGCAATTTACAAAGATTTCCCCATAATTGAGGCTCAAATGTTTACTTTAAAATTAAATAAACACAAATGTTTACAAGACACGTATCACAAAAGAAAAAAGCTTGAAAGCACTCAGGTAATACAGTGATGATTCTAAATTACATGATCGTTACTGCGGACCAGTATTGTGTTGCAGCAGGTTAAGCCACCAGATGGGACATTGGCATCCCACATGGGAGTATCAG